GAATCTGCAGATCACATGTCCCTTTTTGATCATCTATTGGTATTTTGGCAGCGACCTACTTCGTTCGTGCCTTCAAGTGCCTATGCCTATCAATACAAGTCCTCGAGGCTTAGCACTGCCTATGATAGCTTCAAGTATGTCCCTTGAAGCTCTCTTACTTCGCTAAGTTCTCGTGTCTTCGCCTGTCGGAACAATATCGCTTTTTCTATTTAATTTTATTCATTTGTTTTATGATCGATCATTGGCACTATATTGTGTACGGCAGAGCATAGCATCTAGAAAATTGCAAGTAGTATTTCTCGCGAGACGTGTGAGATATGTACGAGTAAAGCAGCTATCTGCATATGGTCGAATCGAAAACGTCGTGTGTCTCCACATTTTACGCACGGATGCTTGGGGTCAGAGATTCAAACCCTTCTTTTGTTTTTCTTCTTCATCAGGGACCAACCATCTAAATATAGTACTAGTACTATTCTATTTTTAAAGAAACAAGCACGAGCAGTTTACTCTTTCAACAAATTCAGCTGCGATAGTTGCTGTTGGTGAGTCTGATTTTGATTTAAAAATCCCGAAACACTGTTCAACTCTTTTCCAGCGTCCTCCCCTTCCTCGATGTTTGCTTGGGACGCATTGGACTCCAGATGTACAGGGAACTACTGCTGACACCCGGGGAGATCCATTCCCCACATACGGAACACAGTGCTTCCGCTCCAACTGTGGTAAAGCCGTCAGGCTAACCATAAGGGGAATTTCCTGAGAACATGCTGCTGAGATTTGGCCAGAGCGCTTTCCTCTGCGGAAAATAAAATACTAAAGAAGTCTGCCTCTGACAGATACGCACCGATGACACGCGCGGGTATTTGGAAGTGACTGGCACAGGTACATAATGCACACTCACCCACAAACTCATTTACACAATACGAAAGCAGTAGTCTGATTAACTGACACGAGAACGGGAAGCAGCGAGGAAAATAAAATCACATCTTAATACACTAGTAATGGTCTCATATCAAATGAATATGTACGCAAGTGTTTTCCAGAAACAAAACGATGGAACGACTCACAACAAACAAAGCATACAGAACCACATATCATACTTCTCTCCTTTCTAGCCTTGGGACAAGAGCCCAAAATAGGGTCATTACAGCGAACGACGCAATAATTCTGGAGACGCTCAGGGCAGATCGATAAGAGCTTGCACTTGGACCTACATGGGTTGCAAGCTCACTATCCCAAAGTGATTGGCTAGAGCACCTGTCATGAACGGGAGTACGGCACTTCCTGCGACACCAAGACCTGTGTGTTCCATTATTTCAGTAAGAAGTCGGTTCAAAGTACACCAAGTGTCCAGTATCCACCTGCGATCCATCCGATAGCCCCTGTTAATAGCCATCGAGGGAGAATCTTTCCCTAAAACCCAGTGATAAATGTACTCTTAAGTGGGTAGAATATGAAAAGGACTCACAGTGTGGTTCATGACCGAAGGATACATTGGCCCGAGGAAAAATCCTATAAAGGAAACACATATTGCATTGCCTATGAGAGATGGGACCCGCCAGATAGTGAGTTCGAGCCTGTGAAAATATATGGGAGTCGTTGGTGGAATGGAAGTAAATTCTTATACCCAATGCAAAGTATGGCGTAGATGAAGATGGTGTGGCGTTCGGGGATGATGCGGGTTGCAAAATGCAGAACCAACCGACCAGCAGTTAGTCCTGCGCAATCAAATATTAATCTTGCTGGGGATGAAGGTGAGTCACCTCAGACTGACCACCAAAGAACCCCGTAGAAACGTATCCGGCACTTGGACCACCGCCTCTCTGACCGATGATAAATGTCACAATCCATCCTGTGAGCAAACGATCAACGGGGACATTTTTCAAAACTGTGGATATCAGATATTTCTACCTCCCATTGTGACTTCAATTCCGACATACACCAGGATGAAAAATGCCAGAAAATGTACGGTTTTGTTCTGAAGAATCTGACGTAGTGTGTTCTTCTGTGACGTGCTAACTTCTGCAGGGGCTTGGCCATTCTTAGTAAGAATTTCTTCGTGATATCAGCATGCTTATATTTTAACGCATCAAACCAATGGATGCCTACCCTCTTGAGTCTTAAACCTGAATACTGCTGTTAAAAATATCAGGTTTGCAATCGCGATCCCTAAACTTGTGAGATAATGAAAAGACCAGCGATTCAGCCGAGCGAATTGAGTGGCTATAAGCGGTGCACTTAAGGCTCCGAAGCCTTTGGGCAGATTGTAAGTGAAATTACTGGGCAACGTGAGAATAAATACCGTAGATGGCATGCATAAAATTCATCTTCGCTAGTGAGCCTCCATCTAGCACAGCCACGAATCCGTTGGCTTGTGCGTCCTTCCGGGTACGCAAATTGTAGTTTTGGAGGAAATGCGACGCAAAACTGTATCACACACCTGCAGCGAAAGTCCAAACCCGTTGACAACGTACCCAAGAGCAAGGACGGGAAAAGGCGGAGCAGAAGCCATCATGCCGTATCCGATTACTTGCCCGATGGCACCTGAGTCAGAAAATATGAGATCGTAGTCACTGTAAACGAGCCATTGCTCCTCTACCTATAACGATCGTCTGAACGAACAAGATGAATAATCGACGAATTCCATAGAAATAGCGAATTTATTTTACCTTCCCAAACCCGTAGCGGTCCGTTAGAAAGACGTTAGAGAGTCCTCCGATGACACAACCCTATTATAATGAGTAATGCATCTCCGTTGAAATATGAAATAGCACCATTCTTACGATGCATGCGCAGACGAAGAGAAGAGATACAATTGTAAAATTGAGCTAATCCTGTCAGTTGAAATATAACCAATTGTGAAAGCATCGCCACCTGATAACGTCTCTGGATTGAAGGGAGAAGAGGGCCAGTGGTTCCTGGCCAGATTGGATAAGTAATGAACTCGTCTCAAAAAACAAACTCACCGTCGTTGTATCCTGCTAAAAACAAACAAAAGCACAGTGCAGTGTATTGCAAACGTTTCTGATGCTTGATATAGCGTGCGTCAGGAAGTGGAGCAGGGGAGGGGGACCCCTGTGAATTATTTGGGGGTGTAGACTTATCCTGAGTTTCTCCAGCTACAACACTTCGAAGTTCAAACCGTTCAGAATCCGCATGCTCTGAATTTCTGCGAGTCCGCCGACCGATATCATTGGGTGCAATGGCAGAAAGTGTTTCGGGCTCAATGACGCTTTCGACAATAGCCATCCTTGACGGTGAAAAGCAAGGCTCGAACAGTCTCAGACGCTGCGTATTTCCCACCTGGCAATAAGTCCACAATGTCACCTGTCTGTCCTGATAACCCCCTAAAGAGACTTTTTTTTAAAACCGACGGATGCAAATTGCGTAAGCGAACACGGCATTTTTGGTGTCCAACGATGTCTGCTGAGAACGTCTCATCCCCCAACGAACCTTCAGTGTCATCTGAGCTTGCTGGTACTGATTCGGCGAGTCTTTACGGAGTCATAGACAGAGAGAAGTTGAGAATCAAACATCATGGATTACTTGCAGCTCATTCAAGTTACGTCACAGCGTGCACGGACTGAACCTGGATGTGCCAGAACAAGCGCAAGAAATAATCAAGAGCTGGGACAATCGGGAAGACACTACAAAGTTCGCCGATTCCGGTGTGGATGACCAGGTTTAGTTCGTTTCCTTGTCGTCGAAAGATTGTTCGTAGCATTTTATTCTGATACACAATTCAAGTTAATAATACACGTACCCTTCGTCCAAAACGTCCGAGTAAGGTCTGTTTTATTAAAGCTAGGTAAGGGACATTTAGCTCCGGAGCAATCCTTATGCATGGCTCATGTCTTCATAATTAGGCCGAGGCGAATCGACACCTCGTCGTTTGCGAATATTTGCTAATTACCCTAGTATCGTTGACTTTGACAATGCCGAATCAACGCGACCGCATCTCGATATTGGTCTTCTGGATGGTCAAATAGAGGTGACGGAGTACCCCCTGAGGGTGGCGGCTTTTGCAAACGTCAACAGCTTATCCCTGTTTTTCGTGAGCCCTCTCTTCTCAGCTTGCAGATAATGACCGACTAAGCCTTTCGAAGAGCGATGCTGCTGGGGGAGAGCAGTCTCGAATATACTATCTGGGATTTAGAGGTGACGTGTCGAATCCACGGAAAGATACCAGAAAGAAGATCGATTTACCAGCTGCGAATGCAGCAGACGCGCCTTTGATCGACAAGTTAACAGACAAGGCAGCTTCACAGAATACTGTCCGATAATGTATTTTATGATTGATTCCCTATCTAAAGGACGGGCAATAGAAGAGCCATGTAAATTGATCTATAATGTGTCATACGCAAAACTATATAGAAGTGAAAAGTTCGCACCTAAGATATATTGACTTAGCCGTATGACTTTATCCCTTTGTCACTGTAAATACTAGTACAACAAAAGTAAGGTATGGGAAATCAGTCTGAAATGTGGGAAAAAAATAGTGACTCAAATGTTTACAACGGTGGTGTGGTTTTGTTCAATATCTATCAGAATGTAGGTAACGTTAATTAAGCCTTGCTAGCTCAGTGGTAGAGCGTCAGATTCTTACAGTCCCTCTGACCGGGTAAGAGTCTGAAGGCCGCGGGTTCGATTCCTGCGTGGGGCTTCATTTTAACTGCGTTAAATCAGAGGTTCCAATTGAACCAGGTAATAATACTTCTCTTTTTCCAAGCGCGTGAAATATTTTTGAGAATTATGGAACTAGCCATTAAGTACCAAAATGCATATGCAGAACTATATGGAAGTTAAAAGTTCGCACCCCAAGATACATTGACCTAGTCTTACGAATTTATCTTTTTGTCACTGTATATACTAGTTCAACAAAATTAAGGTGTACTGACAGATGAGTCTAGGATGAGGGAGGGAGTAGCAGATTCAAATGGAGAAAGTTTATAACGGTGGTGTCGTTGTTCAGTATCTATTGGAATGTAGGCGCTATCTACTAAGCTTCGGTAGCTCAACGGTAGAGCGTCAAACTCTTACAGTCCCTCTGACCGGGTAAGAGTTTGAAGGCTGTGGGTTCGATTCCCATGCGAGGCAATATTTTTATCACGTTAAGTCATGGAGCTAGTCTAGGAACTTAGCTAACAAATCAGAGCTAAAACAAGGATGCCAGGTGCAACTTCGACACCACTATGTATATCATTTTTGGAGATGCTACCTGGTTAGTCTACGCATGTCTATATTACACTTGCTCTTCCCGTGTTGCTTTGCGATACCCCGGATTATTGTCCGCAGAAGTTATCGGGCCCGGTTTCCGCTCACAAACATCGGCCTACCCAACCATATAAAATAGCAGTTTTAGTATTTCAGCGTCGATAAAATCGCTGAGAAACTTGCTAGGTAACATTTTTATCACGTTAAGTCATGGGCTCCTTCCTACCAAGAGTTCCTATTGAACCCAGTATATATCTATTTGTCCGAGCGCGGGAAATATCTTTAAGCATGGACCTAGTCTAGGAACTCAGCTAATAAATCAGAGCTAAAACAAGGATGACAGGTGCAACTTCGACACCACTATGTATCATCATTTTTGGAGATGCTACTTGGTTAGTCTACGCATGTCTACATTACACTTGCTCTCCCCGTGTTGCTTTGCGATACCCCGGATCCTATTGTCCACAGAAGTTATCGAGCCCGGTTTCCGCTCACAAACATCGCCCCTCATGTGCGCTGTGCGTACATTGATTGCACTTGGTAGATGACTTCTATAACATCTATAGGAGGTAACCGTGTATGACGCGTTGAAAAACAGCAATGCTCATATTGGAGAGTGGGTTGTCATCCCGGAAGCGGCGGCGGTCTAGGATATTTTGGTACTTGCTGACGTAGAATTCTTTGACCAGGCGAATATTCGAATGCTAACCGCGTTGTGTATAGGCGTCCAATATGCTAGGGCGATGGGCATGCGTGTTCTCGCTATCAGCAAGTATTTTATGGACATTTTTATTAGGTACGGTGTCGACCAGAACGGCACCTCCTTCAGACACTTCTGAGAAGAAGAAATCATCATTGGAGTTGGGAGCCGAATATTTCATGGACTTCAAAACGACCAAAGATCTCGTCAAAGACGTTAAAGATGCCACTGATGGGGAAGGTGCACACGCCGCCGTGATTACAGCCGCTAGCGTTAGTTTCATATATAATCAGAGTTGAAAAGCTTTTAAGCTAATGAATCCCGTAGTCCGTTGCATTCACCCAGGTGGTCAATTATTTACATCCCGGGGGAACGCTTGTTGCTGTAGGAATGCTTGGTGAGGGTAATATCGAGGCTACCACATTCTGGACGGTATCAAAGGTAAAAACACTATGTTCGCTAGCGTACGGTTACCAATGCATTCTCCATAGAGCATGAAAATAGTCGGCCCTATGTTGGGTATGCAGTGGCCTTATTGGATCCTAGTATAAAAACGCTAGCTGATGAAAAACCTTGCTTTGTAGAAACCGTCAAGATGCCATAGAAGCTCTCGCCCTTGCATCGCTAGGCAAAGTGAAAGTACACTAGCACATCAGGGATTTGGGAATGTCTACACCCATTATGTAGACTCCCTAGATCTACAGTAAGTTTTTATACCGACTAGTAAATAAGGATCTCGCGAAAGTAGTGTGTCTAGCCGTGTCTACCCGAGCTAACTAGCTCTCCGAGTCCTAGATGGCTCTAGACAATATAGACGGCATACTTACTGATCTTCCCTCTTTCCTGATGTACTAGGCCTGGGAGAGAACAAAATAGTCGGGAGAGCGGTGCTAAAACTCCCTGAGCAGTCCATACCAAACGATGGATAGCGAAGGACTTGGATTAATGTTGACAATTTTGTTGACTTATTTTATGTCAATTGATGCGATGCCGGACGGAGAATAGATCCCACGAGAGGCATAACTGGGAAAAAGTGCTTACCTAAGTAATCCATCGAACAAATTCCCAAGGTCACCCATTTCACCCATTTAACATGTCGATCCCTCGTAGCCCTTTGTAAGCTTCTGTTTTAAAATACAAGCTTAATTTGTTTATTAATGAGTGCCATTCCACTAGGTCCCTCGTGTTCTTGCTTCATATCGGCTTCGAAGCTCCCATCGCTGTTCAAGGGTTTTTAGCAGGTATTCTTACTATTACAGCTAGTGTTGAGAAGTACACGCTCAACTTTGTAACAGGACATAATCTACCCTTCTTGGACATGAACAACACGAGTCTCATCATGCTCAAGGTCCGTTTGCGTCCGATAGTAATGTGACTGAATACTTGACGCGTCGCGAGCAATAGCTCTACGCAACTTTGCTCCTCGCAACATGTGTTGGCTCTTTGCTTGTATTTTCCCTCCCCGGTGGGACTCAATTCATTCGCCGAGGGATGTTGAAATTAATGGTACCACAGAATTTTTACCTGGGAAGAGAGCATTCGCCATTGTGCTTCTCGCATACCACAGCATGGCGTGTGCTGCTCTCATGCAAAGTGCCAGGTTTATCCCCCATACATTTGGAACGATGGCTGAATCGTGAGTACTTTATGAAGCATAACTAGTCGATCCATTCATTTCGGGTCGTCAGCATGAAAGTCACGCCAGAAAATGTCTGGGGCGTCGCCCATGGAATCCTGAGGTGCGTGACATGTGTCTTTATCAATTTATGTGCTTACGGTGTGCCTTACTGCTCTTCAGTGTCGGCCTTGGATTATGGTGGCAAGGAACCCTTGGATACGCGCGGGCCATCAAACAGCAGTAATCGGACACGTTGTAATCTTCTGATCATTATTTCCCTGTTGTAACGAGCGTGACCGTAATTGCTAGTTGCGCTATAAGTTATTTAACCGCTCGCGAGTATATTTAACTATATATTCTATTGGGATGTAGATAATGCGGAGGGTTCTGTGGTATCGGATACTATAGATGCATCTGATGATTCTGGTGTTTTGGCCAACCGTTGTAACAACACTCTTGTGCAATTCTTAAGCGAAGCATCCTCGTTTCCTGACGCAAATCCGCATCCAGCCCAACGGATCTTGGAGTTTTCGTCAACCAAGTATACATACCCGATATGTTTGTTAACCATCCCTATCGGCTCTCGCAAATATTCCATGTTCTGCTTGGACACAAGATACGTGGATTGGAGCTCCTTTGGCACGCGCTTTCTTATCGAGGATAGAAACAATGAGACCAAGAAACCTTTTAATGGATTGTCTTGTAAATTGATCTACAGGCTTTTTAGTTAAGAAGTCGCCTCATAAAAGGATATATCTACGTCACCTGCACGTATCGAAAGAGTGGGTTAGATAAATACGCGTCGACTGCAAGATGTGAAAAAGATCGGACGTGTTCCTAGGAGGGCGACTCAACAAAGCGGAACATGACGTAGTAGTACTTCCAGGGACCCACCTCAGACCGCGTTGAAGATAGCATAGCGATTATAGATATTCGACCCTCAAGTAGCGACGTTGTATGGACAGTTTCCTGTGGTTCCAAAGACATCCCAGTCACATCAGGGAAGTATAGTGCTTTCTACAAGCAACATTATTAATTGGGTCAAAATTCATCAGAGAATGGTTCCCGAAACATACATCTTCTCGTATTAAGGACTCAGGAGCCACCCATGTTTTCCCTTCATGCTGTCGCAATGCGTGGTAATCTTGAAAATACCCGCGCGAGGTTTCTTTCACTCTGTCAGAATTCAGCTCTAGGCCCACCCTGCGACACAGACACAGACCGAACTCACAAGTGTCTTCTCTTTTCCAGATGTTTATCGTAATCCAAAAACTCTTCTTTCTTCTCCTTCCATGATGCAGACAAGGCAGATGGTCTCTTTGCCACTCCCAGTGGCCGGGAAAGCTTCTTCAGTGAAACGGGCTCGTCTTCGGTTTGCTCTGAGGGTACGAGCGTCTCCGGAACCGGCGGCTTTGAGTCAGTCTGGTTCCAACGCTTGCAGAGTGTATGTTGATAAAAAGCGTAGGGCAAATTACGAACCGTCGAAGGTCCTGGCCGATAACGCGACACCACTACAAACATGATAATCGTGGGAACATTGTGACACTCTGGTGACATCACGCATAATGCATTTTTGATCTTCGCAGTACTTTTGGTTGCTCTCGAGCATTTCTACGCCTTTCTATGAGTGGACAGTAATTAAGTACATAAGTCAATAGTGGCTAAAGGTGAAATAATGCGAATTTAGTAGCCCCAGAGTTTGCATCGCTGGTCCTTTGATCCCGACAAAGGTACGAGCGCTTACTAGTACTAGGATTTTCGACCTCTGATAAATCGAATTCCAAGATAAATTATTTCATACTTAGAGTGTACTGTCCCATTTCCACCGTGTAGGGCAACACGGTGTTTTACCGCTCATCTTCCGTTCTATTCTCTCCTCTGTTATAACGTGGAATTTAGATTGGTCTTTTTTGTATTTACTTTTACTTGCGGACAGTGCGTCAATTTTAACAATTTTGATACGTTGTGCCATGGCGTTTACAATCCATTTCTGACCTTGTTATCACTTATACCTCTCCGGCCTGAGCCCGTCAACCAACAGTATTCTCCTTTCGCACCTAGTTATGTGGGAAAATCCATGATGCAGACAAATCAGATAGTCTCTTTGCCACTCCGACTAGTAGCGGTCGGGAATGCTTCTTCAATGGAACGGGAGTCTGCTCTGTCTCCAGAAATGGCGCATCTGAGTCAGCGACTTGCAAGATGTATATCGATAAAAATCATAGGGCAAGTTACAAAGCATCGGAGATCCTGGTTTATAGCGCGATACCGCTACAAGCGATTTCTTAGAGAGTACTGTTCCATTTCCACAGTGCATGACACAGACAAGAGGCTGTTTCACCGATCATCTTCCGTTCCCCAAGCCTGCTGTCTTTTTATTGTTGTGGAGCTTAAAGGGAGAGGACATAATCGGCATAGCTGTCATGCCTTCCCAGCTGGGGACCTCGGCTCGTGCCAATGCGAGACTCGGTGAGGGCTCAAAGAGGTTCCTGCCTGCTCATACTCACTAAAACCCGGAAACATTCCCTAGTTTCATGTCGGTCGGTCGGTCGGCTGGTCAAGCCT